GCTGTTCATAATGGTACTACAACACATTTTTGACAATCTTAATTGGCAGTCGGAAAGGATTAGAATTAACAAAGATCGGCTTACACACCTCAAATTCGCAGACGATACTGTCTTATTTGCTGAAACAAGCAAAGGATTAGAAAGAATGATAACCAGTTTAAATGAAGAAAGCGAAAAGGTGGGCCTCAAAATGAACGAAAATAAAACTAAAATAGTTACTAATGATTACGTTAACGCCATATACTTGAACGGGAAGCCGCTTGAATATGTGAGCAATTACATATGCCTGGGAAAACAACTATCATTCGATGACAAAAATGAAGAACTAGAGGAGCGGCGTATCAACATGAGTTGGAAAAAGTTTTGGTCCTTGAAGGAAATCTTGAAAGGGGAATTCCCNTAAAAAAAAAAAAAAAAAAAAAAAAAAAAAAAAAAAAAAATTCAGCACCAAAACAAAAAATAAACTAATAACATGTCAAAAAGCAATGGAAAGAAGCGTACTAAAAATAAGAAGAATACAAAAAGTAAAAAGCGAAAAAATTAGACAAAAAACTAAAGTTATAGATGCCTTACAATATGCTTTGAAACAGAAATGGCAGTGGGCAGGACATATAGCAAGACGCACAATAGGGAGCTAGATTTAGGTAGAAACATCGACCTTCTTGAATTAGAATTAGACTTAGGTATAGATAGGTTATTTAGTGGTAGTATAGTAGACATAATGGACCACGAATGACACGATTTATAAGGCGTTGCGCCCAGTTCCGGAATTCGACGGGAATCTGAATGTTCTCACGAGGTTCATTCGAATTTGTGATCAAATATCTAAGAGCTGAGCCAGACGCGGATTTAAATAACTTATGTTTATTGAATGGAATTCTAAATAAAATTACCGGTAATGCGGCAAGGACAACTAATTCAAACGGGATACCCGAAAGCTGGCAGGGCATTCGTAATGCTTTTATCAACAATTTTTCAGGCCAGAGAGACGAAACCGCTCTTTACAATGACCTTTCACTATTAGGACAAGGAAACAGCGCACCCATTAAGTTTTTTTAAATAACAGATACAAGATTGTTAATAAAGTCTTAGCAGAACGGGAAGCACGAAAAAAGCTTTCAAAAAATTCAAAACAAACAGAACATGGATCGGCGGATTGAAAATAGATGGCATAGCAATACATAACCGGAGTGAGATTATTAATATAGCAACCGATTACTACAAAACCCTATACAGTGTCAGAAAACACAGCAACATCAATACAAGTCGAAGTACAACATACATGATTGAAAACCAAAGTGTAACTCACATAGAGGTGAGCGAAGCTATACCAGAGTCATGGAAAAACTAAGATTAGACAAAAGTCCAGGCCTTGATAACATCACAAATGTTATGTTATGCCTACTAATCTCAAAACTAAAGTTCTAAATTCTTGCCTTCTGCCTTGCTTATTATACGGATGCCAAACATGGAAGTTCAGTAACAATATAAATAACGAAATAGTCTCATGCCAAAGAGGAATGAAGCGTAGTATGCTAGTAAGTAGAAAGTATGTTCAATTTTTCAAAAAATAAAATCCCATATGGAATTGCACATTTCTTTACTGGCCAGGAATAAATAACGTTTTAAATGGCCAGTATTGTGAAACGAGAACATTATATACAGGTAATAATACTTCATAATCACTTGCTCTGTCCATATCAACTCATAATACATATCGACGCTTGAAAGGCAAATGTGACTAAGCGACAATAATTGTTTTGTACATAAATGATAGGCAATAACCATATTCGATGCGGAAAAAAAATATATTTCTAGGTCTATTAAAATCATTTCAATCCTACAGCTACTAGCTAGATTCTACTACGGCTAGGTTCGTAAAAATAAATTTTGTTTTCAGATATTTCAACTTTAAATTAGTCTACTGTAAAGTTCACGCATTGTCGCTTAGTCACGTTTGCCTTTCAATCGTCGATATTTTAATGGAAAACATCCAATTAGCGATTAAGAGTTACGAAATGTGTTATTCAAAGTTATGTTATATTTGAATACAATTAGTATTATCAATTCTTTTCCCATGTTTACCAGTAATTTTGAAAGATTTAGTATTTTAACAAGCTTGTGTCTGTTTGTTTGTGCACTTGTATACAAGCATCATCACGTTTACACTTGTACACTTATCACAAATTACGTACCGTTTCCAGTAGGTCGTGCAATGACTGAAGAAATATATCTGGTGTTGGAAACCAATAATACTTTTCCGAACGCTCTCTGCATTTTTTTTGAAGTGAAACTTCTTTAAGCGAGTTGAAAGTAAAATTCAACTCGCGACAGATACGTTACGGCAACAGAGAAAAGATACAACTTAGGACGAGCAAGAGTGAGAAAATAGACAAAACGTCTCGCAAGCCACTCGACCGTGGAGAGAAGGAGAAAGCGTTCTAGGTCGTTTCTGTTATACAGATTCTGTTTACGGGCGTCGGCCACTAGATGGCTTGCTATTAGTTTTTCATTGCTTCTGTATATGGCAGTAATATATTAACTACCTCGTATTTTATGTTTAAGAACTTTTGAAAGATTTTAAACAAACATATATGGGGAGTGTTATTTTTATTACGTTTTTTCAGTTTGTTTTTTTGGCATATTTATTTTGTGCCTGTTGCAATGGCAACATTCTATTAGGTTCAGAAAGAGATAGCAGTTTAAAGTTAGAGGATGAAAAAGAAAAAGTTTTAGAAAGACGTGTGCGAAGTGATTGTGACGTAAAATAAATAATTTCGCTATATTCATCCCACTTTTACTCATGAACGATCCCACATATATTTTTTTTTCTATATATAATTTAAAATNCATATTTATTTTGTGCCTGTTGCAATGGCAACATTCTATTAGGTTCAGAAAGAGATAGCAGTTTAAAGTTAGAGGATGAAAAAGAAAAAGTTTTAGAAAGACGTGTGCGAAGTGATTGTGACGTAAAATAAATAATTTCGCTATATTCATCCCACTTTTACTCATGAACGATCCCACATATATTTTTTTTTCTATATATAATTTAAAATAATAGGTTGGGGAAAAGTCTTTTCGCATTATGCATGTTTGAACTTGTAATAAAATCTATTTGGCTATACTATTTGTATCTGGCTGGTTTTGGTATCATTAAAAGTTTAAATTTTAAAGAAGTTAATTCCAAATTCAAATTAGGAAAATGTGTGATTTTTATTTATTTTTCGTACTGTCAAGATGAGTGATGTAATGGAGAAATTCGATACATTTTAAAATTTTACTACATAAAGGTAAAAATGCAAATCAAGCCGCCAAAAAAATTAAACAAATTTGGTTTAAGCATTTTCAATCCGGAAATTTTAATGTCAAAGATGCACGTCGCTCTGGCCACCATATTACGGAGGTGTTAATGCATCCGCCGCATATTTCTGATCTTGCACCTTCAGATTTTAACCTGTTTCGATCTCTTCAGAATTCTTTAGGCAGTGTCAGGATAACATCACGAGAGGACTGCCAAAACCGAGTGTCGCAGTATTTTGATCAGTAGCCCCAATGAGATCATATCCCTTCCTACAAGATGGCAAAAAGCTATCGAACAAAATGGTACCTACATACTTTAGTTAAATGTAAATAAACTATTTAAAAAAATGTTGTGAATTTTCTTAATAAATGCGTGCAACACGTGCAAGCATTCATCGAAAACAACACGTGCAAGATAAGAATCGTAAACAACATCGTCCCACCACGATACCTTGCTATAAAAACGCTCCGTTGTTGTCTCTCGAGCTCAGAAGCGAGCGAGTCGCCGTATCAGACGGAACGCTCCTGCGTAATATACGCTCTGAGTTAACATTGCTGGTTTTATTGACTTACGAAGACCGCCCGCTTACCATGTCGCTACCCGAAAGTAGAAATACTCCAACATATATAGAGGGTGAAGAGTTCGTGTCTCTTATACACGACATTTCGTATTACAAGAAAAATTTGATTTAAGGATGAAAAATGAAGAAAACCACAATACTACACATCGAAAAAGAAGTTGCACTTCTTTTACATGCACCAAGTTGCACGCAGACAATTTTTTGAAATAAACCTATACATGAAGGTTTTTTATCTGCCGGAGTACATACACGTCGGAAGCTGAAGGTTGTTTTTTTGATTCTCATGTACAATTGGCGTAAGTGGGAGTATTTGGGCAAGGACACTTAGGTATTTCCCTACTTAGGTGCATTATTACAAAAGGATTACAAAAGGTAGACAGACAAAAAGATAAATCATTTCTGATGCTTTGTCCAGTGTAAAAGGTCTTGCATCTATAAAAGACATTGCGTTAAGGAGAATAACAAAAAAGTAAGACGGTTTTTGTGAAAAAAATGCTAAACCGAACTAATTCGGGCAGTTGACAATGAATTCTAACTAAAAGCTAAAACTTGGAGCAGTCTTCAAATCAATAATTATAAAATTCAGGCGTTTCCACGGGCAGCTAATAGTATAATATTGTAATTCATAGAAACGGCGGCCTTTAACTTTGCTTTCGATAATAATTAATTATTAGTTATTTACGCGGCCTATAAAGCGAGACCGATCGGAGTTTGTTTATCATTCCCGTTTGAATCGTATCATAAGCAGGTCAGTTGTTGATTTCAGTATTTTCAATATGTTACATACAATACAGATACCTTCAGGTTATTCAGATCATTGACTCGTTCTCTCTTCTGACGAAATAAAAAAGCTTTAAACAGAATTATTTTAGCTGGAGATAGATGCTGGTGTCGCAGGAGCCCATAGACAGCACGACGACTGGCCCAAAATTTAACTGGGACTCGTGGCTGTTTCGCGTCTAGAATATATAGTACATATTCTAATTAAACGTGTATTAATAAAATTAGAAGGTTTAATATAATAGTTTCATGTAATCGTTCTAAATATTTTTTTTAAATCAAGTATACTTGTAAGATCCAGGAGTTGCAATTGAAAATTTCATTTACGTTACAGATATGGAGCTCAAAGGAGCTGTGCTACTGATGTGTGTGCTGGCTGTCAGTGCTAATAGCACTGTCGACAAGGAAGCCACCGACAACATTGCAGCCGTTGAAACAGTGAATCCGACCAGCGTCGTCAGCACCGTAGACTCTGTAAGCACTGAAGCATCCGTGACCCTCGACAACGTCACCAGCAATCAGTCACCCTCCATGAGCGTCGTCAGTAAGCAGCGCGAAAATAAACTCTACAATTTGATCGTGGCAAGGAAATTTGATGAAGCTGTCGAGAACACCATTTCCTTGTATGGCGCAGGCTGGAGCAATATCATCAAACAGGTCATTGAAAGGTTGTGCGACGAGGGTAACTCTATAGTATTTGATTACTCCTACAAAATCTCAATCTCCAAGGCTCCGTACATCGCACGTAGCTGCTTCCCTATGGCAATCCGAATTCACGAAAGAATGGTATTCGCAAAATTGATTAACAAGAGGGACGGATACGCTCTTACGTACAATAACCACGTGGACTTCGATGGTGACCGAAGAGTTTTAGGCGATCCCAACACCGAAAGCAGGATGGATATTGGATGGTGGTTCGTCCCGCATTGGACGGGAGACAGGCTTTATTACCAAATGCGTCCTCTTAGAATGGCTATGTTCTTAAAATTAGGAAACAGTAGAGACGGAGACGGCGACCATACCGCTTATGTATCTGACGACTACAGCACGAACAGGCACTTGTGGACCATACAACCGGTGAAGCACAATGGCGAGCTCCTGTTCTACATCATCAACCGGGAGTTCGACAAGCTTCTTAAATTCGGTCTATCACCCGTATACGACGGATACCGCATTGCTTATGGCCACTCGACGAAGGACTTAAATCCGCATAAGTTCTCGTGGTACATTAAAACTGCGTAATACCGTATTGTATTTCAATAAATGTAATTTTCAATAAAAATACTCCAAGTTCGTTGCAAATCATGGTATGTTTGAATATAGTTTCTTTTAGTTTAAGACTGGTGAATGAGTTTACGATCAACCTGTGTTACTGGAACCCATAGATGTAACAACGTAAAAGCCGCCTTCACAAAACTTGGGTCCGATCCGACAAGGATAAAACGCCCTACCACCAGTAATTACACGTAATTTTTGCCATACGATGACTGTACCGACAATGTGGGGGGGGGGGGGTTATTCGTTGAGTCGTTTTAAAGTGTTTGTTGAGTGTTTTAAGTGTTAAATGCAGCTTCTAAGTTTTACTTCGGTGGAATTTTATAATTTTATTTATCCCAAGCCCCAGCGCCTAGCAATATGTAGGTATACATTTTAACAATATTACATTCATAATTCATACATCATACATCAATAATGTTACATTAACACGTTGACTGCGTTATGCTGCTTAAAAAGCCCCATGCGCGATTATCTACTAGTGCTGCAGTTAAAATCGCGTCCTTTCACTCTGTGCGAGAGGCGACTATATCCACATTTCTATCAGTATGTGCATATTCAATAACGATCCTTTGTGAGGCCTATCAGCTCTCATACGCACTGTGAAAAAATCCAATCTTGCCTCGAAAAGACCGCATACGCACTGGCTGAAAGTTCCTCAAAAATAATTCTGCAGTCAACGTGTTTTTTTATTTTTTATTATTGCTTAGATAGAGTGGTTACTGGAGCCCATAGACATCTACAACTTAAATGCGCCACCCACCTCGAGATACAAGTTCTAAGGTCTCAGTATAGTTACAACGGCTACCCCACCCTTCGAACCGAAACGCATTACTGCTTCACGGCGGAAATAGGCGGGGTGGTGGTACCTACCCGTGCGAACTCCCAAGAGGTCCTACCGCCAGTGATTACGCAAATTATAATTTTGCGGTTTTGGTTTTTATTACACGATGTTATTCCTTCACCGTGGAAGTCAATCGTGAACATTTGTTGAGTACGTATTTCATTAGAAAAATTGGTACCCGCCTGCGGGATTCGAACACCGGTGCTACATACGAATGCACCGGACGTCTTATCCTTTAGGCCACGACGACTTATGTCTTACTACGATGTTAATAATATCATATTCTTATAATATTACATTCATTACTTCACTTAAAACAAAAGCATTTTCATTTGTAACAGAACTGACTGGACTAGGTATAACCTATGACCGACCTTTTATAATACTTAAATTTTATAATTTTAAACATTTAATTATTAAAAATGAATGGCGTAGATGGCGACTGTAGTTTGTTATTGACAGTCATAATAAACTATCACATGAAGAACACGACGGACGATATCAACACTTGTGTTGAATAATCTGACGTAGTCTATATCTATATCTATACTAATATTATAAAGAGGAAAGATTTGTTTGTTTGTTTGTTTCGAATAGGCTCCGAAACTACTGGACCGATTTGAAAAATTCTTTTTCCATTAGAAGCCGACATTGTCCCTGATGAACATAGGCTACTTTTTTTTNCATTTTCATTTGTAACAGAACTGACTGGACTAGGTATAACCTATGACCGACCTTTTATAATACTTAAATTTTATAATTTTAAACATTTAATTATTAAAAATGAATGGCGTAGATGGCGACTGTAGTTTGTTATTGACAGTCATAATAAACTATCACATGAAGAACACGACGGACGATATCAACACTTGTGTTGAATAATCTGACGTAGTCTATATCTATATCTATACTAATATTATAAAGAGGAAAGATTTGTTTGTTTGTTTGTTTCGAATAGGCTCCGAAACTACTGGACCGATTTGAAAAATTCTTTTTCCATTAGAAGCCGACATTGTCCCTGATGAACATAGGCTACTTTTTTTTAATTTTTTTTAATTTAATTTTTTTGGTTTCATGTGTGTTTTAATGTTTCCGAAGCGAAGCGAGGGCGGGTCGCTAGTCGATAAATAATCGGTTTAAATTCATTTCCTTCGTATTCGTAAGAATCGTAATGTCGGGTAGATTACGTACGACTCATACGACGATGCACCAAAGATCCTTCGTCATGATATCGTCATACCCATAATATAACTGTTTTTCTCTGTAACAATATAAATAAACTAGCGGCCCGCTCCGGCTCCGCTCGGGTCTTTAACAAATATTTCAACGATACTGACGTTGTTTTTTTCTTTAAAATAAAAGAACACTTATTTTGGCATAACTATAATAGTTAGACATTTACTGTCGCGACACTTTTTGTAAATAATAATATGCTCTACAAAGTCGTAGTACATTATTTTATTTTATTAGCAAGTTTTCGCAGGGCACGCGATGTAAAGAATATTTTACGTAAATTATTTACACCTTGGATTACATTATTGGAATTTTAGTAAGGATCCCTAATTTTTCTTAAAAAGCATTGTAACCTATGTCACTCGGGAACAGTGTAGCTTCGAAACAGTGAAAGAATTTTTCAAATCGGTTCAGTAGTGTCGGAGCCTATTCAATACAAACAAACAAACAAATCTTTCCTCTTTATAATATTAGTATAGATATAAAATAATGTAACGTAGATATAATTTTTATGAAAAAGTAGGTAGGATGAACGTAAACAAAACTTTTTGGCGTAAACGCGAGGAGTGAAGTTGTGTGATTTGTTTTATTTTGTCTATTTAGGGTTTCTTCAGGTTTAAATGTTTAATAATGGTGGTTTATTAAGAGTTTCTGTGAAAGTGCACAAATGTGGGAAAATGAAACAAAGCCGCTGGACGTAACTTTTCTGGATCCTCCAAAAAGTCCACTGAAAAAGTCTCAAATATAAATTTGAAATAAGACATGAAGGTCTTAGTTACCAGGTCATAAAATCCCTTAAAAAAAAGAAAACTCACATGAATTCCAGTTTTATACCTTTTAACCATTTCAATATTGCGATGAGAACTCATTTAAAAAAATAATTTATTAGTTATTATCATCGTATTAAGGAGATTCAACTTGAAAGAGACGATCGCATGAGAAGTAACAATCAGCTGAACAAGTAACAAATTCTTGGTAATAAAAGCATAGCCTGATAGTTTCAATATCTTTAGTCTACCCTATTTAAGTTTTTTTAAATATGACTTACGGATTAATTTTAAGGCAATCCGATATACTCGGAAACCCAATTTTGTGTGCCTCAGTTAGTAGTTTAATGGTCGTGGTTCGTGTTCTATGAATGCGCCGACGGAATCGTATTACGAGTTCAAGGCAACAATACTGAGTTTGTGTACATGGTGCTTCTTTTGGAGCTTAGTAAAGTTGACATTTTGTAACATGGGTCTTCGTAAAGAATTTACCGTTGGTATTTTTGAGGGACAACGAACGATAGCAATGCATAATAATTTTGAATAATTGAATAAAAATAATAATTATTTAGGTAAAGCTACTTATAAATAGAAAATCTGCGTTAGCTCACCGCCGGTTCGCAGAGTTCCCAGAAGGCTGGCAGCATTTCCACGCTGGATAGCAATGCTAATTCTTTGTGCAAAATACGTACCGGCTTTCTGGTCTCCTGAGGTCCCAAAAAAATTTTTTTTAAGGTCCTTAAAAAAGCTTTTAGCAGATGGGCCCCAGGGGCATAATATAATGATATTCTCTGTCTTTCGCACAGGTATGAAAGAAACACAAAATGTCGATCACGCTTCGCGGTAGCATCTCGCGGTATCCTTTCCAGGCAGGATAGGCATTTTTTGTTACTACGGTAACTTTTTTCCTACCTAAGCCTTGAGAGGTTATGTCAGCGTCAGCTTACAAGTAGGTGAGCTCACGGGGCTCATACCTGACGACGTTGCTAACACTAAGCCTAGAAAGAGCAGTGCTTCGCAGAATCTACCACCGGATCGGAATCGCGACCCACTGAGAAGATCCGGCGAGAAACTCAGTGAGCTTTGTCTGTGGGTTAATTTACTCGCCCAGCCCTTCGTCGCAAGCGACGGGTTGCACGATAGCTCTCGTAGCAGCAAAATATCAAATTCCTAACATGTTTTTTTTTACCAGCGCAATATGTTATGTAAATACCGCTCATACACTTCGAACACATAGATGGCGCCGTTTCTCTAAGGAAAAAGTTTTGGAATTGCCCATCGACTTTTGCGGCATATAAAAAAAAACAAATTAAAATTTTGGTTATGATTTCGTAATAACATGTACGTACATTGTTTACGTTCGATAAATGTTCTCTTAACCAGACTGTTTTTAACTCCAAAGTAATTAGATTTAGGTGACATTTGACTTTTAGCTTGATAACAATTTATTATAACTAGAGGTCCCGCAGTAGTCGAAATTCGACTATAAATAATTGGAATTGTAAGTTTTTACACTATTATGATTGTATTTTATACTTCTATAATCACAAATTTCGCCAAGACTACACTATAAAATATATTAACAAAGACAAACAATGTTTAATCTATTCTCAATTTGACAACAGACGCCAAGAACAAAAGTTTGACAATAAATAGTAGGAATGCATGCGTGTGTGCGTCAAATACATGGTATGTAGTGTGCGTAATGTTTTCTTTATTGATTTAATTTATCTTTTATGCATTATTTTTAAAAAATATTAGCATTGTGCACTTCTTCTCTATATTCTCTATAAGTGTGGAAAATTTCATACTCCTCCGTCCGCGCAATTTTCGTAAAAAGGGATACAAAGTTTTTGCTTCACGTATTAATATATAGATAGGGGTTATAGTACCTATGAAATTGCTGTTTTATTGTAATAGGTACTTCGAATTGACATAAAAACCTTCATGGTTTGAGATTTTTGAGTGAAACTTTTTTCAAATAGGTACATACCTATGAGGTTCTTCTTTTAAAAAATGTGAAACATTCGATTATGGACTTTCAATTGTTTTTTTTAGTTCAGCTTAAACAGGAAAAATGGATACTTTGAAAATTCGAGTGATTTTTGAATACGAGTTCCGACGCGGAACTAACGCTGCAGAAACAGCTCGCAATATCAATTTTGCATTTGGAGAGGGGACTGCTAATGAACGCACTGTGCGATTTTGGTATAAATGCTTTCGTGATGAAAATGTTGATTTGAAGAATGAACCACGTGAAAGGCCGCCCACACATGTGAATAACAA